AATGAATTCAATAACTTCTAATGAACTAGACAATGATGCAAAATTTTTATAGACTTTGTTTAATGTAATACGGAGTGACAGTTATCTCCCCTGATAGCTGCAGTTTTCATTCCAGCCATTAATAGATATTTCATTTTTCCATCTTGATCTCTGTGTGTCGTTTTTCGATTTGTAGCCGCAACATGTAATTTTTTTTTAAAGAAATAAAAGAATAGAGAGAAAAAAAAGACGAAACGAATTCTATCGTTTCATACAGTCCGAAAAGATTATCAGCAAAAAGCGCGGGAATCAGAGATATTATTGACTTTGAACTTCCAGGATAAGCACTTTTTATTATGTCTCCTGAATTATCAGCTTCATGCGTAGCATTCGCTTCAAATATTCCTTGCTCATATTACGACCGAAGCACACTGTTGGGATTTCTTCAACGAACGTTTTCGGAAAATTTTAACGTTGATGACTGGCATAATCTTTTTTTATAATCTTTCTATAATTTTTTATAATCCTCTGTAATCTTTACTATAATTTGCTGTTATCACAGTAAGATTTTTTTTAACGTGAATAAAACTGAATAACATCTGTTACAATATTTTTTATTTTAACTTTATAGCTTGGAATATAGAGTGATAGTTATCGCTTCTGATAACCATTCCCTTCATAATAGGCGCCAGTTTATTAAAAGTTGAAATAAATGGAAATATTATCTCTGTAGAGGTTCGCAAAGACTAGTTTAATTTTCTCTCTGCTCATATATATATATATATATATATATATATATATATATATAGGCAGCAATCCTTCGTTTATGTGTGCATTATGTGTATGTTTTACTGTGTTGTAGAGTTGTTCCTAATTTCCGAATACGGTTAGAGCATTGTGGCCTTGTTCGTACCAGGTCATCCCATAAGTTCCGTCCGAATTTTGAAAAAAGAAAACAAGTGACCAAATGTTACATTTAATTACAGATTCAATCAACAATGCATTTTCCCTGATTATCTATGACTTCCTTCCATCTGTTAAAAAGCTTACTAATTCCATTATTGTAAAATTCTTTTGGCTTTGATTCGAAGAACTCACAAATGTCAGTTTTAACCTCTTCCTCTGTTACAAAAGCTGTTTCTTCCAAATGATTCTGTAAGCTACGAAACAAATGGTAGTCTGAAGGAGCAAGATCGGGAGAATAAGGTGGATGAGGAATTTTCTCCCAACGAAGTTCTTAGATCTTTTGTGACGTGATTCTTGCTGTGTGGGGTTGTGCATTGTCCTGATGAAACATCACCTCTTTTCGATTCACTTGAGCAGGTCTTTTTTTTCCTCAAAGCTTGGTTCAAACGCTCTAATTGCTGACAGTATATTTGAGCATTAATTGTTGCAATAGGTGGTAAGAATTCAAAGTGGATTATTCCTTGGCGATCTCACCAGATTGAAAGAAGAACCTTTTGCCCATGAAGTTCCCTTTCTCAGAGGTGGCTGGCGTTCTTCCTTTTTACCAAGCCACAGTTTACGACGCTTAACATTTCAATAAAAGATCTATTTTTCGTCGCCAGTCACAAGTCTATCCAAAAAAGGTGAAACAAGTTGGCGAGAATGGAGAGAAGAGCAGATGTCAACTCGGGATTTGAGGTTGTTTTCAGACAATTCATGAGGCACCCATTTTCCAAGTTTAGGGACTTTTCCAAGTTGTTGAAGATGACGATAAACAGTTGTATGGTTTGAACTGAGAACCACTGCTAATTCCCAAACTGATAAAGCAGGATTTTCTTCAAAGGCTGCTTCAAGAAGCTTTTCATCAAACTCCACTGGACGTCCGGTTCGATCTTCATCTTCAAGGGTGAAATCTCCACCTCTGAATTTTGCAAACCATCTTCTGCAAGTTCTTTCATTCACACATTCCTCTCCATAAACTGAGTGAAGGTTTCTAGCAACTTCAGCTGCTGAGTTTCCTTTCTTGAACTCATAAAGCATTATGTGCCTCAAATGATTCTTGGGTACTTCCATGTTAGGAGGGTTTTAATCAAACAAAATTTAATTTTATTGTTAAGAGTTGGATCTTCCTTTTTTATTATTAAAGCTTGCATTACTTTTAATCTTTTTTTTTGCAAGTGGATGAAGTTATTATATTTATTATATTTATAACACATAAAACATACACATAATGCACACAGTCAATTAAGCTGAAAAATTGAATCCTCCTTAATAATGGCTAAAGGTATAGTTAGCCTAAAGCGCTCGGAACTTTAAAAAAAAAAAAAGATAATCATTTGGACAGTTTTTACACTCTTATCCCAGAAAAGTAAGCTCTTGTTCCACAAAGAAGTAATGAGGAGAGGAAAACGATCATTCAGTTCTTCAGTAATGGTACCAACATTCATACTCTGGCTTCCATCTTTAATGTCCATTCAAAAGCCATAAAGAGAACGGAAAAGGAAGGTACAGTAGAGAGGAAAACGGGACCCGCACGTCAAAACAGGAAGCGGGATCATCATTTCAACTGAGAGCTAAACAGATCATTTAAAACGATTCTGCTGTTACACCCGGTATAATAGCGTATTTGTATCGAAATGAAACTATACATAATAAGAGAAGAAAAAGAAAGAAATATGTTAAAAGAAATCGTACCCCCTATGCTTCATAAAAATATGCATGTGGACTATTTTTAAAAATCATATCGCACCAAGTAAGACACAAGGAATTACTGAGTGTGAAAGAATAAGTAAAAATAGGGATATTATTAAGTAGTGAGAACAATAATCTAGAAGATAGTAGATAGCGATTGACATTTCAATTAAACTTTTTAATATTCAAAAACGGCTGGAAAGCATAATAGTGTTCCACATGCTAGAAGTGCGACAAATAGAACTGTGAGCCTATAAACTTCGGTTAAACGGAGCTAACTCGACTGTGAATTGATGAAATCTAATACTGCACTAAAATTCATAAAGCCTAAGTAACTCGAGGAAGAGTTCAGCCTTCTTCAGGATCCGTCTATATTTCGGAAATGGGGTATTGTAATTATTTATATTATTTACATTGTTAGGATTGTTGTCCTTAACTTTATTACCGTATTAACGACGCTTCGGAAGTTGTACACACTGGCTTTTCGTCAGGAAATTGGAGTTTCGAACTGAACACTTTATTAAGTCCACAGGGTAGATTGTTCTAATTTCTCTTTCATATGTATCACTAATCTCCCTTTAACTCAGCTCTCGAATTTTTTGTTCCCCACTGCAGTAGCCATGTATTGAACTCACAACTCTTTGGGTCTAGTCACTGGATCCAACCCATGCTTTTGTCCACTCTGATTTGTGCCATTCAGTGCATGCATTTTGGGAATTTATAAACTTAAAGTCACAGTATTTTTTTCTTACCAGAGCTCATATTGCATTTTTGTTGTTATTATTCCTTTTCTCTAGCACTCCGTATTATTGGTTCCCATATTGTATTCATTGGAAGATTTTTGTGGTCCAGCATATGTGCTGATTCCTTAATTTTTCGTATTTTCCAATGAAGTTCTCTGTTATTTCAACCTCATCGCACAGGAGGTGGTGATCTAACTCTTCCATCTATAGGTGGTGAGCTGTACCATATGTGTGTATTTCCCCCTCATATTACATCTTTACGATGTTGTTGCAGTCTTACTGCAAGAGGGTGGCCTGCTTTTCCTTTATATTCCTTACCAAAGCTGCATGCAATGGTGTACACATAGTCCTCAGTCATGTTCTCCTCTATAGTGTGGTCATAGAAGAGGGGAAATAGAAAAATCAGGCCTAGCTGAGGTGAGGTTAACTAGGCGTATTGCGTTGAATCTAGCGTCGGTCTTGCTGATTGCATGCAGGCAGGCAGGCAGGTCGAAAAAGTTCTTTGTGACGGTGTCTGATCATTTTTTCACAATAATGTTTTACTCTGTACAATGCGCAAAAAAGTAGAGCATAAAGAATTAGTATCTGTATATATTTCTGAGATGAGGTATTATGTACACTATTTACATTATTTATTTACAACGTTTCGGCCAGTGAACGCTCCGGCCTTCTTTAGGTTAACCTGAACCCTTTATTTCACTCACTAGGGTAGAATGTTCTAGTTTCTAGTTCCACATGCCATGTTTAACGGATGTCAGTTATCAGTTATCTCCTTCTAATTCCCCTCTCCAAGTTCACCACTGCCTTAACCGGGTATTGAACTCGCAATCTTTGGGTCCTGTCACTTGATCTAACCAACGCCTTTATTCACTGTGCCATGTGCCCTTTAGGACATCTGTGTATGAATTTGATGTAATGAATTTCTGGGTATTATAAACCTAATGTCTTCAGCAACCATTTTTTTACCAGTGCTCATATTGCAATTTTTGCTGTTATCATTGCATGTTTTTACCAGAGCTCATATTGAATTTTTTGTTATTATCGCTTTTCTCTGTCACTTCTTATTATTTGTTATTAATATGACGACAAAGATGAGGACAATAGTCCGAATAATGTGAATAATGTCACAGAATTAGATGTAAGATGTTCAATCTATAAAGATAGGTGTAGACTATAACCATTAACGCTAGACATGAACAGGTTAAGATTGTATTGATAGGAGAAACATTTTGTTGGCGGTCTAATCGAGTGGAACTTACTTCTTAACATTGGAACACGGAGGGAATGTGGGTTGTCTGCTACTATGTAAGTGGCATGTCAGG